GAGTTCGCCCCGGCAGCGAAAGGAGGTGTCCAGGAGGAGGAGTCCAGGAGAAAGAAGTGGAGGAGGAGGAGGAGGAGTAGGAGAAGGAGGAAAAGGAGAAGGGGGAGGAGCAGGAGGAGGAGGAGGAGGTGTTCAGGATGATGATGCTGCTGCTGCTGCTGATGATGATGATGATGATGATGAAGATGATTTAAATGATGATGATGCTGATGATGATGATGCTGATGATGATGCGGATGATGATGATGATAAGGATGCTGATGATGCTGATGATGGTGATGATGCTGATGCTGATGCCGATGATGCTGCTGATGATGACGACGATGATGATACGTAATGATGATAATGCTGATGATGACGATCATGATGATGACCATGCTCCTGCTGCTGCTGATGATGCTGCTGCTGATAATGATGATGCTGATGACGATGATGAGGATGCTGTCGATGCTGATGCCGATGATGATGATCATGATGATGCTAATGATGATGCCGATGCTGATGATGATGATGATGATGATGATAATGTTCATGACGATGAGTGTGATCATGCTGATGGTTACGATGATGCTGCTGATGATGACGATATTGATGATTATTTAAATTGTTGTGCTGATTCTGATGATGGTGATGCTGATGACGATGATGATGCTGATGATGATGATGATGTTGATGATGCTGCTGATGATGAGGATGATACTGATAATGATACTGATGATGCTCATGCTACTGATGATGATGACTCTCATTTCTATTCTTTCTATTTCCCCACATCCTGAGTGGGGTTCTTGTTTTCCCAGAACACCCTCTCCTTCCCACCCACCTCCCGCTCCATCTTCCATACAGCACAATATTATTCCTACCACACACACCATACCATACCATAGTTCCTACCACACATACCATACCATACCATACCATACCATACCATACCATACCATACCATACGTACCATACCGTACCATACCATGTCATGGCGTACCATAGCATACCATACCATATCACTGCCCCTCCCACCCCTCCAGGGAGGCCCCCTGCGAGGAGGGTATCTATTACATGGTTTCGTGCCCCTCCCAGGAGGCCCCGCCTGAGCGAGGAGGGTATCGGAATACCATACTATTTACATGGTTTCGTGCCCCTCCCACCCCTCCAGGGAGGCCCCGCCTGAGCGAGGAGGGTATCGGAATACCATACTATTTACATGGTTTCGTGCCCCTCCCACCCCTCCAGGGAGGCCCCGCCTGAGCGAGGAGGGTATCGGAATACCATACTATTTACATGGTTTCGTGCCCCTCCCACCCCTCCAGGGAGGCCCCGCCTGAGCGAGGAGGGTATCGGAATACCATACTATTTACATGGTTTCGTGCCCCTCCCACCCCTCCAGGGAGGCCCCGCCTGAGCGAGGAGGGTATCGGAATACCATACTATTTACATGGTTTCGTGCCCCTCCCACCCCTCCAGGGAGGCCCCGCCTGAGCGAGGAGGGTATCGGAATACCATACTATTTACATGGTTTCGTGCCCCTCCCACCCCTCCAGGGAGGCCCCGCCTGAGCGAGGAGGGTATCGGAATACCATACTATTTACATGGTTTCGTGCCCCTCCCACCCCTCCAGGGAGGCCCCGCCTGAGCGAGGAGGGTATCGGAATACCATACTATTTACATGGTTTCGTGCCCCTCCCACCCCTCCAGGGAGGCCCCGCCTGAGCGAGGAGGGTATCGGAATACCATACTATTTACATGGTTTCGTGCCCCTCCCACCCCTCCAGGGAGGCCCCGCCTGAGCGAGGAGGGTATCGGAATACCATACTATTTACATGGTTTCGTGCCCCTCCCACCCCTCCAGGGAGGCCCCGCCTGAGCGAGGAGGGTATCGGAATACCATACTATTTACATGGTTTCGTGCCCCTCCCACCCCTCCAGGGAGGCCCCGCCTGAGCGAGGAGGGTATCGGAATACCATACTATTTACATGGTTTCGTGCCCCTCCCACCCCTCCAGGGAGGCCCCGCCTGAGCGAGGAGGGTATCGGAATACCATACTATTTACATGGTTTCGTGCCCCTCCCACCCCTCCAGGGAGGCCCCGCCTGAGCGAGGAGGGTATCGGAATACCATACTATTTACATGGTTTCGTGCCCCTCCCACCCCTCCAGGGAGGCCCCGCCTGAGCGAGGAGGGTATCGGAATACCATACTATTTACATGGTTTCGTGCCCCTCCCACCCCTCCAGGGAGGCCCCGCCTGAGCGAGGAGGGTATCGGAATACCATACTATTTACATGGTTTCGTGCCCCTCCCACCCCTCCAGGGAGGCCCCGCCTGAGCGAGGAGGGTATCGTATCGGAACCCCTCCAGGGAGGCCCCGCCTGAGCGAGGAGGGTATCGGAATACCATACTATTTACATGGTTTCGTGCCCCTCCCACCCCTCCAGGGAGGCCCCGCCTGAGCGAGGAGGGTATCGGAATACCATACTATTTACATGGTTTCGTGCCCCTCCCACCCCTCCAGGGAGGCCCCGCCTGAACCCATACTATTTACATGGTGCCCCTCCCACCCCTCCAGGGAGGCCCCGCCTGAGCGAGGAGGGTATCGGAATACCATACTATTTACATGGTTTCGTGCCCCTCCCACCCCTCCAGGGAGGCCCCGCCTGAGCGAGGAGGGTATCGGAATACCATACTATTTACATGGTTTCGTGCCCCTCCCACCCCTCCAGGGAGGCCCCGCCTGAGCGAGGAGGGTATCGGAATACCATACTATTTACATGGTTTCGTGCCCCTCCCACCCCTCCTGCGTCGCGAGGAGGGCATCAAGAAAATGGGTCCCACGAAACCGTTAATCTCTTTATGTGGTGAACTCCGTTAGCATAATTTTAATATTGTCATCCTTATCATTATTTGTATGATTATTCATATTCTCATCATTACTGATGATGCTGATGATGATGACGACGATGCTGATGCTGATGCTGCTGATGCTGCTGATGCTGCTGCTGATTAGGATGATGATACTGATGCTGATGTTGATGATGCTGATATTACTGACGATGAGGATGGCGATTCTGATCATGCTTATGATTAGGATGATGCTTTTGTTGATGGCGATGATGATGATGATGACGATGATGATGATGATGATGATGATGATGATGATGATGATGATGCTGCTGGTGACGATGATGCCGATGATGATGCTGCTGATGATGATGATTATGCTGATGATGTTCGTGCTTGTGATGATGATGCTGCTGATGCTGCTGATGATGACGATGCTGCTGCTGCTGATGATGATGAATATGCGCAGGATGATGGTGATGACGATGCTGATGCTGATGCTGATGCTGATGATGATGCTGATGATGACGATGATGATGATGATGATGATGCTGCTGATCATGATGATGATGATGATGGTGATGATGATGCTGCTGATGTCATGATGTTGTCATGACGAATGCAAGCGATTATGAGGAGGAGGAAGACGAGGAGGAGGATGAGGAGGATACGGATGAGGAGGAAGCCGATGAGGAGGATGAGGAGGAGGAGCCATACCAATAATACCAATAACAGTATTGATACTATCAATATTAAAAGAAACAATGACACTACTATACATAATAATATTCATACTTGTAAGTGTAATCATATGAAGAAGAATAATGTTACCAATAATACTAAGATCATTCATAATAAACAGTTATAATAGTAAGAGGAGGAAGAAGAGGGCGAGGAGGACGAATAGAAGAGGAGGAGGAGGAGGACCAGTCACACGTGGAGTCCAGCAGGAGATGGGAACCGAGGAGGAGGAGAAGGAGCAGGACGAGGAAGAGGAGGAGGAGGAGGAGAAGGATGAGCAGGAAGAGTAGGAGGATGATGAGGAGGAGGAGGATCAGGAGGAGGAATAGGAGGAGGAGGAGGAGTAGGTGGTGGTGGTGATGATGAGGATGAGGACGAGGAGAAGGAGCAGGAGGAGGATGTTCAGGAGGAGTTGGGTGCGGAGAATGAAGTGGAGTAGGAGGAGGATGAGGAGTTGGATGAAGATGATGCGGAGGAGGAGGAGGAGGAGAAGGAGGAGGAGGAGGTGATGTGAATATTGAGTCCAGGCTGAGGAGGGGGAGGGGGAGGAAGAGAAGGAGGAGGAGGAGGTGGAAGAGAGGAGCGCAAGAGGAGCAGAAGGTGGTGGAGCAGGAGTAAGAAGGGACTGATGAGGATGGGGAGGAGGTGGAGGAGGAGGAGGAGGAGGAGGCGGCGGACGAGGACGAGGATAAGGATGGTTAGCATGATGATGCTGGTGATGCTGCTGATGATGTTACTGATGATGGTCATGACGATGCTGCTGATGATGCTGCTGATGCAGCTGCGAATGATGTTGATGATGATGCCGCTGCTGATGATGATGGTGATGATGCTGCTGATGATGCTGATGTTGCTGCTGATGATGATGCTGATTATGAGGATGCTGACGATGATGATGTTGATACTGATGCTGATGATGTCGATGGTGATGCTGATGATGCTACTGATGATGCTGCTGATGATGATCATGCTACTGGTGCTGATGCTGATGCGGATGATGTTGATGCTGGTGATGCAGCCGCTGACGCTGATGCTGCTGCTGACGATGGTGATGCTGATGATGGTGCTGATGATGATGCCGATGATGACGTTGCTGCTGGTGACGAGGATGCTGCTGCTGATGATGATGATGACGATGATGCTGCTATTGATGCTGATGAGGATGCTGACGACGATGATGCTGATGCTGGTGATGCTGTCACTGACGCTGATGCTGCTGATAACGATGATGATGCTGCTGATGATGATAGCATGATGATGATGACCAGGATGCTGCTGATGATGATGCTGCTGATAATGACGATGATGATGACGCTATTGCTTCTGCTGCTGATAATGATGACGATGAGTGCGACGACGATGATGATGGTGATGGTGATGACGATGATGATGCTGCTGATGATGATGATGATGATGATGCTGAT